GACAATATCTAAATAAAATTTGGACCAAAATCGTTATAAATATTAAAAAGACTATGTTAAAAGTTAAAACTATAAAAGAGGAAAATAAGGGATCAAATTATGTCGTAATAAATTTTAAAACCATTGGCTAAATCTTCAAGAGAACATTTAACCGTGAATTAAATTTGTTCATGGGCCAAGAAGAAAAGTAAAATAATTATTTCTTTTTAAGATTGACTTTAAGAAAGCATTCAATTCAATTAATTGGAACTTTCTTGATTCATTGATGCTTCAAATGAGATTTGACAATAAATGGATATCTTGGATCAAAGGGTGTTTATTCTAAGCTACTTTTGAGTTTCTCTTTAACAAAGGGGTACTGATCTTAGAAAGAAATCTAAGATCAAATGGGCAGTAGACGGAGACGAAAACAATAGTTTTTTTTCATGGTTTCATAAATAAAGACAACAGGAAAAATCAAATTGATGGTCTAATGATTAATGGGGAATGGTGTACTGATCCGAAAACCATCAAACAGGAGATACATTCTTTCTTTGCTGGAAAATTTAAAGAAAAATGGCCGGTTAGGCCAAAGCTTGTTAGTCGACACTTCAGAAAAATCTCCCATGCTGAGACGGTTGCCTTAGAAGCACCAATATCACACCAGGAGATAAAAAAATGTGGTGTGGGCATGCGGAATTGAGAAGGCCCTTGGGCCGGACGGGTTCACCTTCAAATTCATCAAGAAGTATTGGAATATTCTCTTTGGAGACGTTGCGATTGTCAAATTCTTTGGGGAACATGAGAAATTAGACTCATCCTGTAATTCCTCTTTCATCTCGTTAATCCCTAAAATTAAAGATCTTCTACTGATTGGTGATTATCGACCAATTAGTCTCATTGGCTGCATCTACAAAATCATCTCAAGATTATCTCGCTCAGAATGAAGAAAGTGATAGTGTAATCAGCATACATTGAAGGGAGGAATATACTTGATGGGCCCCTGATGGTTAACGAGATTTATTCGTGGGCAAACAAAAAAACAAAAGAAAAATACTTCTTTTCAAGGTGGACTTCGAAAAGGCTTTTGACTCAGTCAATTGGAACTTTCTTGATTCCAACCTGATGCATATGGGATTTGGAGGTAAATTAAGGATGTGGTTAGGAGGATGCCTTGAATCTGTAAGATCTTCCGTCTTAGTCAATGGAAACCCAACAGCGGAATTCCCATTATTTAAAGGAGTCAGGCAGGGCGACCCGCTCTCCCCATTCCTTTTTATAGCAGCCATGGAGGGTCTCAGTGTTGCGATGAAGTCAGCATGCGAACTAGGCATCTTCCAAGGTGTTAAATTACCAAACGGTGGTCCGCTGATCTCACATCTATTGTACGCAGACGACGCACTATTTCTGGGGGACTGGTCAAAGCAAAACATAACTAACCTTGCTAGAATTCTCCACTGCTTTCATGCGGCATCAAGATTAAAGGTTAATTTCAATAAATCAAAAGTTTTTGGAGTTGGGGTAGAAATGAAAGAAGTCTCAAATTGGGCTTGTACTCTTGGTTGTGAACCATCCTCCCTCCTTTTTACATACCTAGGAGTTCCGGTGGGTGCCAACATGAAATTGAAGAAGAATTGGAAACCAATCATAGAACGATTTCAAGCCAAACTTTCAAAATGGAAGTCAAAAACTCTCTCCTTTGGTGGCAAACTGGCTCTTATTCAATCAGTCCTTGGTAACCTCCCAACATATTTCTTGTCACTTTTTGTAGCACCTGAGGGTGTAATCCAAACCCTTAAGAGAATGAGGAACATGTTTCTATTGGGGGGATCGGAAGAAAAGAAGAAAATCCATTGGATCCCATGGGACATGGTAGTCGCACCCAAGAAAGCAGGTGGGTTGGGTGTTGGTACGATTAAAGATCTTAATATTTCTTAATAATGAAGTTGTGGTAGAAATTGAGAACCGAACCCTATCACCTTTAGGCGAAAGTCATTTCAAGCCTGCATAACCTCAAGGCGAAACCTGATGATGTGTATTCAAAAAAATCACTAACAGGAGTGTGGAACAACATTGCTGGCATACGGAAAGACCTAGTAAGCAAAGATATACATGTTCCCTCTGTCTTATCTAAACAATCTAGGGTTAATGGTGTAACCTGGAGGTGTGATCTTTCCCCGAATGGAATTTATTCAGTATGCGCTCTTAGATATAAAAGGGATTACCAGCCCCCTAATGTTGATGGCAATTTCTCTTGGATTAAAGAAGTCCCACTAAAAGTCAACTACTTTATATGGCGGGCAAGAAGGGGGAGGATTTCCGTAGCATTGGAGCTTTCAAAGAGAGGGATATATTCGGAATCTTTGACCTGTCCCATGTGTAATGAACACAATGAATGTGCAGACCATGTGTTGGTTGATTGCTTTTATGCCAGATAGGTATTTGAAGGAATATCAAGTTGGTGTAAGGTACATACGGTGGGCTTCCATACAATTAAGGATGTTGAGGACTCTATTTCTCAGAGGGGGTTGGGTCACAATAGGAGCAAGATTCTTTTGACGTTGTACTATGGAGCCTTATGGAGCATTTGGAAATCAAGGAATGAAAGAGTTTTCAAGAAGAACCGGATCCCACCCGACAAAGTCAATGACATAATAAAACCAGTGACTTATCTATGGGCAAAAAACAGGGAAAACTTGATAGGATTACCTGGGCAACATGATCTCAATGCCCTCTATCCTTTTGAATTACTCTTCTTCCAGTTTTGTCTTCTATTTTCTTCTCTTTTCTACTTTTTACTTTCTCCTTGTATGTCACTAATTGTAGCTTGTATATTTTCTCTATATATATATATATATATATATATATATATATATATATAATATATATATATATATAATATATATATAATATATATATATATCTTTGGCCGGTTCAAAAAAAAAAAAAAAAAACAAAAAAAAAAAAAAAAAAAAAAAAAAAAAAAAAAAAAAAAAGGGTACTTCAAGGTGACTCTCTTTCTCCATTGTTGTTTATAATCGCTATGGAGGGCTTGAACATAGCTATGCAAGAAGCATGTGGGAAATTTTTTATCTCGTGGTATTCATATTCCGAATAATGGGTCATCTATCTTGCATCTTTTTTTTTATGCGGACGATGTAATCTTTATAGGTGAATGGGACAAATATTACATCGAAGACCTTACTCATACTCTCAAATGTTTTAACATCTCATCCGGTCTCAAAGTTAGTTTTAATAAATCACAATTGGTACTTGTATTTCTGATTCTGAATTTAATTTTAATAAATCACAATTGGTACTTGTATTTCTGATTCTGAATTATCAAGATGGGCACATGCTCTTGGCTGCAAGGTGGGATCTTTTCATCAAAAAACCTATCTTTTGGTGGTCAGCTAACTTTGGTTAAGGTTGTCCTTGAAAGTGTTCCAACATATTTCTTTTCTCTATTTAGAGCTATTGCAAACATTATCGAAGAACTGAAAAAAATAATAATAATAATAAGACACACATTTCTTTGGGGAAGCAAAGAAGAAAATCTAAAATACATTAGGTGGCATGTCAAATTTTAATTGCTCCTAAAAGTCAATGATGTCTTGGTGTAGGTTCGCTCAAAACCAAAAATCATGTTTTACTTGCCAAGTGATGGTGGAAATTAAGATTGCTAAGGGCATTACAAGCTTAAAACTGATGAATATCAATCTTGAAGATGTATTCTCCTTAAAAATCAAATATGGAAGTTCTAGTATTTTTTGGTAGGATGTATGGATTGGCACAATTATTCTTCAGACTCGATTTCTTTCATTATAAGCCCCAAAGTCTTTTAAATGTTGCAAATCGTTAAGAGATGCTCCGATGTTCACTTTCGATGGTCATGGGAATGTAATCCTAGTAGTCTTGAAGTTGTTGTTGAACTAAACAAACTATGCACTCTTGTCGCTTCTCACACATTCAATACAAATGCAGATGAATTTTGTTGTAATATTGCCCTCGATGGTAGGTTTTCTGTGAACAATATGTGTAAGTTTTTAGACTCAAAATTAAATGTATATCAAGGGTCAAAAGTTGTTTGGACTAAAATAGCTCCTATTAAAAGTTGTGATTTATTTGGTATGCTCGACTTGGTAGGATTCTAGTTGCGGAGACTCTTGCACAACGAGGAGTTCATGTAGCCAATCAAAACTACCCATTATGTGGTTCTTTTGTTAGTGGAACATTTTTTCTTTCATTGCAGGTTCACCTCAACTGCACGTTATTGGATTCTGAGTTGGTGTGACCTTCTCTTTGTACAATTTTCTAGGTTGGTGGATTCCCTTGATTTTGCTGCAAATTAGTGCAACTGCCCTAGAATAAGGAAACTTTTAAGCGATAACTTATTGCTTCACATCCGGGTATAGATTAGGCGATATAAATTGGGTGCGTTTATGTTGTAATCCATTTTGAGTTTCCTTTGTGTTCAAAACCTTCTTGTACTTTCCAAGTCTTAGTTCATTGCTAAGAGCATCCACAATGCATAGTTTAATGAGAGAGTTGAATGATGTGTTATGCAGAATTGGTATTCAATGGATTAAACTCTACCATTATGGAATGTTATGTTGGCATTGAATGAATATGGAGTTAAATGGCCACTGAACTCTTCAATGTGAAAAGGAAAGTTTTTTTTAACTATTAAATGTACAATATATTTAAGTTTGTAGAGTTGAATGCATTGTATTGTAGAGAAATTTTGATAGAGTTGTATGGAAAGTAAATGATAATGTGGCAAATCATTGAACTCTAAAGAATTCAATACATTGTGGATACCCTAAGTTTGGTTTTATCTTTTATATATTTTTCGTTTTAAAAAAAAATTTATATAAAACTGTAAAAGAGAAAAATATGAACCAAATTTATGATACAACTAAAAATTGTATATAACTGTAAAAGCCAAACAAATATTGACCAAATTTATGATTAAAAAAAAAAAAAAAAAAAAAAAAAATTTGTAAACCCAAGGTGCCAGAAGATGAATGGGAGCTTACAATTGTACATAGTAAAGTAGTTTCGGGAAGGTACACACTCTCAGGTCTTAAGTCATCTAAATTCGAAGGGTCTTTCTTCTCTACAGACAGAAAAACCAGAGAGAGATGGGGATTTGGGACGTGATATATTCCATCGGCGACGGAGTTAAAGGAATAACACCGGATCTATCGACGGTGAAACGCGCAGGCAGCACAGCTTACAATTACACTTCCGCCACCGTTACAAAGATCAATCAGGTGGCTAGAGTGGACGGTATTCACAAGCTCCCTCAGTACTGGCCCCAGATCACCCTTTTCACCACCACGCTTGCTAAAAACACCGCCAAATACGCCGCATACGAAGGCTTCAAACACATTCCTGGTTTGCTCCTTCCCTCTCCCTACTCCATTGTTAAGCCTAAAATCGAGTCGATCATCTGATGACATATTTGGCTTGGAACACTGTTAGGTTAAGAGTTTGTAACCTTTCCACTTTAGTAAAAAAGCAACATCTTATACCAAAATAATGGTTTCGCTTTAGAAAATGACACAAAAGATACTCGCATAACTCCTTAAAGCTCACGATATTTTCAAAACCACTCTAAAGTCTGTAATTTAGGGTTTCCATTCTACTCCTAGAACAATTTCTGGCTTGATTCAGAGCTTAAACAAGTGCTGAGTGGTTTTAATTCCATTAAATATTGGTTGTTACGTTTTCAATTCCACTAAATTTCTAACTGTTTCGATGTTGGAATGTACTGCAAGCAGTTTTTTTAGTGCCCATCTCTGATTCAGATGATTGATAGTTTTATGCTGAGTGTAGCTTTAGTTACTTGATGTTCAAGATATTCTCAAACTTATATAACAAAGAAACAGTAGGAAACTTTGAAACATTTAAACCTGCACCATACCTTAATGTTCAGTTCATAATTTTGTGCAGAATTCCGTTTGCTCTTTCACTTGTGTGGTTCTTTATATATATATATATATATATATATATATGTCCATTTCTTGAGAGATACTTGTTGCATTCTTGGTGATAGCCATTGAAGTCATTTGTTATACATTATGTGTGTACATACGTAGGTGCAACTGTGGCAACTAAGTTGGTTTCTGATACAATGCGTGAAGTTCAACGACAAAGTCAAAAAGATGGAATTAAAGGAAAGGTGGACAGATTGGAGGTAGACTTGAGGAGATTAACTCCACAACAAGGATGTTCAAGCGAAAATGGGAAATTAAGCTCTCAAGTTGCAGTTGAAAGTGGACATGAGAAGGCTAGAGACGTCATTAACATGTTCATGAAGACGGAGTTTGTAGGAAACCAAATGTTTCATGACTTGATGGTCCCTAAAATTGTTCGTATGGAGAAGAAAAACGAGTAGAAGTCAATCGGTGTAATGTGTATGTGTGTTGTTATGGCAGGTCTAAATATATGTAAGGCCCACGGGAGGAAAAAAGAAGGGCTCTTATGTCACAAATTACTAAATATATGTTTGGTGGCTTTGATATGTTTGAGACAAATATCACAAAAGACATCTTATTGTGGAAATCTTATTAAAATTAATCCCTCTATTAACTTCTTAGGCTACATGGAGTGGTAGCATTCTTACCCTCATCCTCAACATGTTAAATAAGAAGCATGTTACGGAAGTGATAAGAATATCTAAATATTTTTATAAAATGTAGTGATTTTTGGTTTGTATCAATTGCAAATGTTTTTAAATCCGTTTGAAATCATTTGCATAAAAACATAGAATCCTAGTGTTTTACTTATATTCTTTCCCTGAAAACATTAAAAATAGTGAAAATGTAGGGGTATGAACTCACAGTTGGTTGCGTGTATGTGCCGGATAACGAGACTGGAATGAGGACCCTCGAGTTGATGTACGTGGAAATTAACGGAATACTAATAATAATTAAACACATATTTGCATTTAAATTAGCGAACTTATTAGTTAAGGTGTTAGAAAACACTTGCTTTTGGTTAATGAATATTCTTGTGACTCGATCGAAGTGGAAAAAGTGGGTTTACAGCAAAGATTTACAATTCGAGGCTGTTTGCAGCCGTGAACGGTTTTCAACAATAAACTAATTTCGCCTTTGAAGATTTGAAGATGTTCTTGGTGAAAAACTTGATGATTTGAAGGTTGGATCTTGAAAGTTTGAATGTTCTTGGTAGAGATTTGATAGGATTTTTAAGTGAAAAAAATGAGAAATCTCTCAAGGAATATATATATATATATATATATATATATATATATATATATATATATATATATATATATATATATATATATATATATATACTATCTTATAAAAGAAATCTAACTATTTCTAAAAATAGATTGATTATAATAATAATATTTTTTTAAGACGTCCAAATAATAAAGCTGATAGTACAAGTAAACATTAATAAAATAATATTAAATCTTAACCACATTTTGAATTCAAATATTTATCATCAAATCTCCTTATATTTATCAGCAATTTGATATTGTTCTCTCAAATCCCGGATTCATTCAAATTTTGAACCCTTTTAGATATCCTTAAATTTAGCATGTTGATTCAAATATCCCTCCAATCGCATATACCTCTTTGTTCCCTTATCTGCTATAAAGCCCACCGTCTAGGAACAAAAAATGACTTCATCTCCCAAATAACACCATAGTTTGATTATTTTGTTTTCGACATGTACTTTCTTTTGTAACATAACATTTTTGTAGAGGAAACATATCACCGAAAGAATTTACACACCCCGCCGCTTTGCGCGGGTACGCTGCTAGTGTATATATATATATATATATATATATATATATATATATATATATATATATATATATATATATATATATATATATATATATATAAAGGTTGTAAAAATTGTTCGACGTTAGTTAGTCGGTGGACTGGGTCAAGGGATTAATCGGCTAGATGGAGATTAATCGGGGACAATTAATTACTAATTTGTTAGATTTTAAAAAATTAAATATGACTAATATTATATAAAAGTTCATAAATACCACTAATATCATAAGAAAATAGGTTAATATGATAAATACAACACTAATCATACCTCAAATAGTTTTTATTGAGATATAACTTCTTCAAAGTGTTAAAATTTCATCGGGTTCTATATTTCAGTCATTTTGTATGCATGGATTAATCGCTATGCGCTCTCTAATCGGTCGAGTAGCGCCTAGGGATTAATCGGAGATTAATCGGCACCTAATCGGGATTTTTACAACACTTATATATATATATATATATATATATATATATATATATATATATATATATATATATATATATATATATATATATATATATATACGGTTGAGTTTACGGTCGGAAACGGGTTTACGGCCGTAAAAGTGTTTGCGGCCGTAAACACAATGTTGAACGAGACTTGGCTGATTTTTAAAGTAAACTTGATTTTTTGTGTTATTTTGGTCCCGACACTTATATAAATTTAATTTATATAATCCAAGTTGTTTTCAACCCTTATAAGCCTGACAAAATTGACAAAATAAATAAAACTCGAAATTTTATATAACGAGATTTGACTTGTTTTGATAGAAAAAGGTTCGGGTTGTCACATCATCCCCCCGTTAGAGGGAATTTCGTCCCGAAATTCTGAAATGCACACAATTATGGACTAGGGAAAGAGACGCATATACTTATGTTGCATCTGATATTCGCGCTCCCAAGTGAATTCGGGTCCCGCTTGGCATTCCAGCAAACCTTCACTATCGGGATGCGACTTTGTTTCGTTCGTTTGGCTTCCCTATCCATGATTTCGACTGGCTCTTCCACGAAGATAAGACTCTCATTGACCTCGATTTCATCGAGTGGGATCACAAGAGTCTCTTCGAATAGAAACTTTTTGAGGTTTAACACGTGGAAGACGGGATGTACGTTGCTAAGTTCTTGGGGTAAACAAAGTTTGTAAGCTACTGGGCCGATCCTAGCAAGGATCTCGAATGTCCCAATGTATCTTGGATTTAGCTTTCCATGCTTTCTGAAGCGTATCATGCCTTTCTAGGGTGAGACCTTCAATAGAACGTGGTCACCAACCTGGAACTCTAACGATTTTCGTCTTTTGTCGGCATAACTCTTTTGTCTATCTCTTGAAGCCTTTAGTTATTCCCATATTTGTACGATCTTTTTGGTGGTTTCTCGGATGATTTCTGGGCCAGTGAGAGTGTTATCAGGGACTTGACCTTTAGTTGACTGCGTGTCACCCACCTCAGCCTAGCACAGAGGTGATCTACACTTACGACCATAGAGGGCTTCGAATGGAGCAGCCTTAATGCTAGTGTGGTAGCTGTTGTTGTAAGAGAACTCGACCAATGGCAAATGGGTATCCCATGACTTACCAAAGTCCATAACGCACACTCTTAGCATGTCTTCTAGGGTTTGAATGGTTCTCTCACTCTGCCTGTCGGTCTATGAATGGTAAGCTGTGCTCATATCCAGCTTAGTTCCAAGAGCCTTCTAAAGTAACTGCCAAAATCTTGAGGTGAATCTGCTATCCCGATCAAAGATAATGGACACAGACACACCATGCAGTCGAATTATCTCTTGGATGTAGATTTGGGTCAATCTCTCCATCTTGTATGTTTCTTTGATTGGCAAGAAGTGGGCGGACTTAGTCAATCTGTCGACGATTACCCATATAGTGTCATGGCCACTCAGGGTCTTGGGAAATTTGGTAATGAATAACATTTTGATTCGTTCCTACTTCCACTCAGGTATTTATGGCTATTGAAGTAGACCTGAGGGCTTTTGATATTCCACCTTCTCCTTGGCACAAGTCAGGCACTTGCCCACGAAGATAGCAATTTCTGCTTTCATGTTTGGCAACCAATAGAGCATTTTGAGATCCAGATACATCTTATCCGAACCTGGGTGAACGGAGTATCTGGTAATGTGAGCTTCGTTCATGACAACCTCCCTGTAACCACCGTACTTTGGGGTCCAGATCCGATTCATGAAATAATAAACTTCGTCTCCCTTGATCTCTAAGTTCTTTTCCATTCCCCTCAAATCTTCATCCAACATGTTCTCTAGTTTCAAGGCTTCCAGGTGAGCCTCTCTGATTTGGGTGGACAGATGGGAATGGATGGTCATTGTAAGTGCCTTTACTCTGCGACCTGAGTACTCTTTCCGGCTGAGGGCATCTGCTACCATATTGGGTATGCTGGGATGATAGCGTATTTCACACTCATAATCATTGAGTAGCTCTACCTATCGCTACTGTCTCATATTTAGCTCCTTCTGGTCAAAAATGTGTTGAAGGCTTTTATGGTTGGTGAAGTTGGTGCACTTGGTTCCATAGAGATAATGCCTCCAAATCTTTAATTCGAAGGCCGCTGCTCCCAACTCTGGATCGTAAGTTGTATAATTGACTTCGTGTGCTTTCAGATGTCTCGAGGCATAAGCAATGACTTTTCATTGCTACATGAGCACACAGCCTATCCCCTGATTGCATGCATCGCTATAGACCATGAAGTCCTCCGTCCCTTCTGGAAGAGACAAGATAGGTGCGTTGCATAAGGCCTGATGTAATGTTTGGAACGTAGTGTCTTGATTTTCTCCCTAACTAAAGGTTACACATTTTTGAGTTAGGGCGGTAAGAGGCTTAGAAATCCTGGAGAAATTATGGATAAACCTACGATAGTAGCAAGCAAGGCCCAAGAATTGGGGCTCAACCAATCCATGCCGATGATGATATCGAAGCTTTTTATGGAGATCAGCATGAGGTCGATTGGAAAGGAATAGTCGTTTAGGGTAAGAGTACAACCTATGAATAGGTCGTTAGTTCTCTCTTTATTTCCGTTAGCCATCTCGATGGTGAATGTTTCGGTTAAAGGTTGAGATTTATGCTTGAGTAGATGTTTAAATGCATGACTAACAAAACTCGTCTCTGCACCACTATCGAAAAGAATGCATGCATAAGAGTTGTTGACGAGGAACGTAACCGTAACTACGGTGGGATCAATGACTGCCTCCTCCTAGCCCATAGCTAGAACTTACCCTGTATTGCTAGCAATTTTCGCCTTTGGGAAATTTCTCTTGTAATGCCCGGTTTCATTACTGTAACAACGTGAATTTTCAAAACAATTTTTCATTTTTCAACAATATAAACCATCATTTAATATTCTAAAATCACATGTATAACAAATGTCATCGTAACAAAATACATCCCAAGATCATAAAACAATTCCTTCGTCAGTGAGTACAGATCACGCCGGCACCTTCCCACGGTCCTCGCTAGTACCTGAAACACATAACACAACAATTGTAAGCATAAATGCTTAGTGAGTTCCCCAAAGTACTACTTACGCACATATGCCTTTCCAGGCCCTGACCTTCCGGTCCATGTGTTTCAGGGAACTTCCGTCCCGACTCGGTAAACCTTCCGGTCCTACCTACGTCAACCTTACGGTCCACATCACAATGCCTTCCGGCCCATAACATAATGCCTTCCAGCCCATATCAATCATAGCATACATAGCACATACAACGGTTAACTTATCATATACAATACATACAACTCATAACATATCTGACCTTCCGGTCACACAATAAAACCCTTCCGGGTACAATATAG